TGGGCGGAGCCGCAGTCAGACCTGATGTCTGCCCCCAGCCCACCGCTGTGTCCACAGTCAGACTGGTGTGTGCCTTCTCTTCCCCTCTCCTAGGGGCGGGATTCACTGTGGGGTGGGGTGGCCTGTTTGGGCTACTTGCACACTGCCAGGCTTGTGATGCTGGGGATCTGGTGTCTTAGCTGGGGTGGGTAGGCAAGGTGCACAGGGGCGGGAGGGGCAGGCTTAGCTTGCTTCTCCTTAGGTGATCCACTTCAGGAGGGGCCCTGTGGCAGCAGGAGGGAGTCAGATCCGCTGCCGGAGGTTTGGCTCCGCAGAAGCGCAGAGTTGGGTGTTTGCGCGGAGCGAGCAAGTTCCCTGGCAGGAACTGGTTCTCTTTGGGATTTTGCCTGGGGGATGGGCTGGGGAGATGGCGCTGGCGAGCGCCTTTGTTCCCTGCCAAACTGAGCTCTGTCGTCCGGGGGCTCAGCAGCTCTCCTTCCCTTTGTCCTCCAGCCTTCCCGCTTTCTGAGCAGAGCTGTTAACTTATGACCTCCCAGACGCTAAGTCGCGCTTGCTGTGGGAACACAGTCCGTCAGGCCCCTCCGCTTTTTGCAAGCCAGACTCGGGGGCCCTGCTTGGCCGGCGAGCCGCCCCTCCGCCCAGGCTCCCTCCCGCCAGTCCGTGGAGTGCGCACCGCCTTGCCGCCCTTCCTACCCTCTTCCATGGGCCTCTCGTCTGCGCTTGGCTCCAGCGACTCCGTTCTGCTAATCCTCTGGTTTTCTGGGTTATTTAGGTGGGTGTAGGTGGAATCTAAGTGATCAGCAGGACGCACGGTGAGCCCAGCGTCCTCCTACGCCGCCATCTTCCCTCTCTCCTCAGGTATGGTATTTAAATGGAGTCAGACAGTGTGTACCCTTTTAGGATAGGATTTTTTTCACTCAGCATAATTCCCTGGTAATTCATCCAAATTGTTATGAATATCAGTAGTTCATTCCTTTTTACTGCTGAGTAGTATTCATGATATAGAGGACCACAGTTTACTTAGCTAATCATCCACTGAAAGACAGAATGTACTAATTTTAACTTTGTGTTTTTGATGAATTTTAACAAATTGATACACCCATGGAATCATTGCCATAATCATAAATGGGACATTCATACAAAAGAAATGAAAATATATGTTCACACACACATTACGTGAATGTAGCAGTTTCTTTTTTTTTTTTTGTAGCAGTTTCATTCATACTAGCTAAAAACTGGAAGCAATCCAATGTCCAACCACAGATGAATAAATAAAAGAATAAATAATGATATAGCCATACAGTGCAATACCACTTAGAAAAAAGAAATGAACTACTGGTATAAATATCATACATAATGAAAAAAGCAAGACCTAAAAGAATATATGCTCTATGATTCCAATTATGTGGATTTCTAGAAAAGATAAAGCGTTTTTAGCGTCAGAGAGCAGATCAGTGATTGCCTAGGGCTGGGAGGGAGGAGGGGAGCGGTTGACTGCAAAGGGGCACAAGAAAACCTTTCTTGGTTTAAGAGAACATTTTAAACCCTAAACTGGGGAGAATCTGTTGCTCAGAATAGAAGGATGTTACTTTCACAGAAAACAAGGAAGTGCTGAGAAATAAATTTGTTTATGGAGGATGGTAAAAAGAGCAGAGTAGGGAAAATAGATGCTCAAAGGACCAAAGTATAGAAGAATAAAGAACTCCAAAGGTGAAAAGAGTGGAAACTTGAAAGAAACTTCTCAAAGCTTCAAACTACAGAAGGCTGATTGGAGCCTCATAACACCAGGGATGTGAGCCTCACCTATTTGACACTGAGTTTGTAATATGTAAATTTCCCTACTTGATTTTGTGATTTTTTTTAATAATAATTCTACACTTGTAAAAACAAAAAAGAATTTTTATTTTTAGAGAGAGAGTGTGATTGGGGAGAGGGGAAGAGGGAGAGAGAGAGAGAGAGAGAGAATGAGAGAGAGAGAGAGACAGACAGAGACAGAGACAGAGAGAGACAGAGAGAGAATCCGAAGCAGGAGCCTGACATGGGGCTCAATCCCATGACCCTGGTGATCGTGACCTGAGCTGAAATCAAGAGTCAGACGCTCAACCAATTGAGTCATCTAGCTGCTCTGGTTTGTGATCTTTACACAGCTGTGCTCCCTGTCCTTCTTTGGGTCTGGAAGGAGAACTTAGCCCTGTATATGCAGAAGCAAACAATGTGGAGACTTTAGGTGTGGAAATTCTGCAGGAAAATTGACAGGAAAATTCTCTCTGATTCCACTAATTGGTAAGACATGAAATTACCTCCAATAGCAGAAAGCAAACAAGGAACATTTTCTTTGCTTTTCTTGGGACTCTTTCATGACAAGATACACTGTGATATTTTCTACTGATGCCCTGCTGGAAGCCCTCTCTACTCCTCCCAAAAGTATGGAGTGCTGATATAGTAAATGGCATGCCCAGATGGAAATAAGCCCTTTTAGCCTAATACATATCCCCAAATCCCCTCTACCCTTGAAGGAGACAGTAATTCCCTGGTGTAGAGAGAAAGACTGGAGCAAAACAAAGACAATAGGACTGGAGGCATGAGTTCAGTCTGAAAGAGAACATAAGAACAGATGTCCAAAACTAGGTGAGAGTAGGGGTGAATACTAATGCCAGGGGGCCTGGAGGTGGGAGAGAAGTAAGATATGGTTACTGGGATTCAGAACTGAGGAAATAAACTAAAGTAAATAGGAAGCAAGAAGGAATCAAATTAAGTGGGGAGGATTGCTAGGAGATACTAAAACCACTGGTTAAAAGATCATTCTGGAATAGGATATTTGCACAGTGTAAAGTATCCTATCACTGATTTCTTATTACTTGTAAAGGGAAAATTTACTTTTTCACTGGAGTTATTCACTTGGTGGTGACATTTCCCAGGCAGTTAAAGTTAGTACCACCAAGACTGGCATAGACTGACAATGCATATACCAGTGTGATGTAGTGTCAAGTACCCATATCGCTCATGAAATGTTCTTACCATAAATGTTTAACCTGAAGCCCTAATCCATATAGAAAAAAGTACAAAGGATAAAGGGGTAAGTGAAATCACACCACAAGAGACAGACAGATCCAGAGTGTGAGCTATTCTCTAAGAGGGTTTGCCTGGACCCCACACCTTATTAGTAACAAGGATTAGAAATACAGGTTCTAGATAGAAGGAAGGGGATATTTTGCCTCCTAATACTGTAGGCAATAGATAAAGTGAACGGATGAGTTAGAATCTGGATGACCAAAGAAGAAACCTCAGTTAGACCCTGAGACCCAAAGCTTAACAAGAAAAAAATTGGAGGTTAAGACCAGGGTCTCACTATATAGCATTTATAGAATAAAAGTGAGAGGAACTAGTGAATCCAAAGACTCTGATCCTTATCATGGCAGAGGAAGCCACTTAGTGGGGTGTTTTCCAGAACCCTGATCTGTTCTCACCTAATCTGTGGGTGTGGGGAGACACTGATGCCTGACTGCATTAAATTCAAAAAGACTTAGAGAAGGTGAACCAGGGTCTTTGGTCCCAGAGATCAACCACATAAACACAAACATGACCTAACAGTAACATAACAAAGAATTTTGCCTTGCTATTGGATCAGCAGTGAGATAGATGCATTTGAAAAATAATTGACAAGATTTAGCTGTATTGTTTGTAATGGTTAATTAATTAATTAATTTATATGACAACTAATTTTTTTTTTAAGGATCAAGACTGGTGTCCTTCAAGGGAAAGATGGTTAAGATGAGAGAGATTGGAAACCATAGGATTTGAAACCATAGAAGTTAGAGTAATGGAGAGCATTTAATCCTCAGGAGAATGTTTAGATAGAATTCAGTGTCTGTCTTCAAAAATCTGAAAAAGGGTATCTCTTGGAGGAGGGATGTGACTTATTCCATGTTAACTGCAGAGGGCAGAGCTGGGATCAAAGGGTACAAGGAGGTGGATTTGTCTAATTGCTGTGCAAGGAGAGACACAGAGTTCCCTGTTTACTCTTGGAACAATTATGACAGCTAACATTTACTGAGTGCTCATGATGTCTGCACTATAGTTGAAGTCTTTATATGTCTTAGCTAAAAAGTTGTGGATCTAATTCATAGTTACTATTACAAGTGCTCATAGCATCATTGGTAAAGGTTCCTTTTACTGGCTGCTTATTAACTTACTTCATTTGGATACTTACCTATTTACTGTTATTATATCATTATCATTTTACAGATGAGGAAGGCTGATTACTTTTCTGGAATCATCCTACTTTAAGTTATTGGCTTATAATGATCTGGACCCAAGTCTTCCTGCTACTAATATTGCCTTCAGAGGTTATGCATATAATAAGAGGTCAGATCAGGGCTGTTCATTAGAAATATAATGTGAGCCACTAATGAGAGCCATATGTGTAATCTTACTTTTTCTATTAGCCACATTAAAAATGTAAAAATAAGCTATTGAAAATATTTTAATTATTACATATATATATATTTATACTTATATTTTAACCCAATACAATAACCCAACTGACTCATCACATCTTAAATTATTATCATTTGTTCAAGTGATGTAATCAACACAAAAATTATTAACAAGGTATTTAACGTTCTGTTTTTCACACTAAGTTCTGTGTCTATATTTTCATAACATCTCAGGACTAGCCACATTTAAAGTGATAGTTGCTCGGGGCTCTTGGCTGCTAATGAGGAGCCAGCACAGGGTTAAAATTTAAATCTCTTTGCAGGGGAGAGAGTGGGATTGCAATTTAAAGAGGACCTTTACCTTCCACCTTATATTCCAACGCCTCCTTGCTCCTGATTTACCTCCTTTGCCAGTTTGAAGTAACAACTGCCTTTGTCTTTTCTGGTAGAGCCAACGTATATGCTTCTGAATTTGGAGAGAGCAGGTGTTTTTCCTGCAACCTTCCAAGGACTGTCATTTCCCTTCTGGCAGCTACACTGGGAGTTCATTTGTTTGAATTTTGCTTTGAAAGTCACAAAAGTAGGTTGCATTAATTAAATAACGTACTCCAAATACCAAATTGGGGGTAGAACGTCTTGCTTTATGAAAAGTTATGCAAAATTAGGGAGTCCCTGGTTTAATTGATTAGAAATAAATAGTGTAAATGCATAGGTGACTATAAGAGGGAGTAAAGGTTTTGTTATTTTTGCCACGCTGCTCACGGGTAGAGGCAGAGCGTCAGAACAAACACACCAGCCTCTTAAAGTAGCTTTAAAACAGCCCACCGAAGTTTCCCCTCGAAATTCCAAACCAGCTGCCAAAAATGAAAGCTTATAAAAAGATGCCACGCGCTCTCGGCCTCCCGGAGGTGGCGCTATGACGGTGACGGAGTTAATTAGTGCCTGCAAAGCGCCGCGTGTGAGCTCATCCGAGAAGTCATGCTCTGCACACATATTATTTATAGCCGATCTGAGGCGTGCACGGTGTTTGACATTTTTCTTCTTTTTAAGTAGGGGGACTTCAAAAAGTCGTGGACATTTCCCTCCACCCTCCACCCCGCAGGCAAAGTGCAGTAGGCAGGCTCCAGGGCGCGGGCGGGAGGTGAAAGCGCCAACCACGCGTGCCGGCGTGCAGGTGCCGGGGGCGGCGGCGGCCACTCTGCAGCGTCCGCTCGGGAGGAGAGTTCACGGTTGATCTCGGGATGCCTTGCAGATGCAAAATGTGTCTCTGGCCAGCAGGAGGAAGGAAGAGGAAGTGAGAGCAGCGGCAGCCGGCGGCGCAGCAGCCGGCGGATCCCCAGTGTAAGTGCGTGTGCGCGGGCGAGGATGGGCACGGGATAGAGGCAGAGCCACCCACACGGCCGCGGCCCGGAGCTGAGGGACAGAGCTTCTGGCCCCCCTTCAATGGTCACGGGTCGCCAGAGCTCTGGTCGCGCGGAACCCTCGCCGCCACCGCCGCTGTCCTGCGACCCGGGGCAGGTTCGTAAAGTTTCCTGGACTGGCGCCGCGCCCCGACTCGCCGACCTCAGCGCGGCCGGGGAGGGAGCTGAGGCTGGGGCACTGGAGGAGGCGTCCTGTTCTGGGGGACTCTGGGCGCCGCGGACACACTTTTGTTTCCTCCCTGGGGGCTCCGCGGCTGGAGCAGGGGTAGCCGCGGCGCTCTGCGGGGCGAGGGCTGCGGGCGCTCCGGGGCGCTCAGCAGTTGGGGAAGTCTGGGCAGAGCCGGGCGGCTGGAGTGGGAGTGGGAGTGGGAGCGGAGGGAGGGGGCGCGGGAGATGGAGAGCAGGGCCCGGGGCCCGGGAACCCGCGGAGGCGATTTGGCCAGGGCCGGCTGGTGGGGGCCGCCGAAGGACTGCGCTGCTGGCTCGGGGGGGACTGGGGACAGGGGAGTGTGGGATTTGGGGGCTTGGAGATCCGAGAGGCTGCGCCTGGGAAGGTACAGGCAGCTCGGGCTCCGGCTTTTCTCTGGTACTCGCAGATGGGAGGGAATCCCTCGGCGACCGCGCTCTTGGGAGGGGACAGCGATAGAGGGATGGAGGGCCCGAAGGGGCAGGAGGAAGCGATTGGGGCGGCTGGGACCCTCAGGGGCGACAGTTAGTAAATACTCGCCTCCTGGGAACATGCCGGGGTCTCCCGCTGGGACTCGGAATGAAGGAGGCGGGGGCAGGGGGGTTCTATGGGAGATACTGGCATGGAAGGGGGGGGGCACCCGGCGCGCCTTCAGAGTAGGGGCCAACGGAGCTTTGGGGGTCCTGGAATCCGAGCTGAGAGGGTCGGCGGAGATCGCTAGAGTAGCTTTGAGGAAGAGGAAATATAGAAGTCTGCCAGCCCTGGGGTGCGCGCGTGTGTTTGGGGTTGGGAAGTCCGTGTTGTGTCGCGGGCGCGCGCGAGGGCGGCGAGCGTGTGAGCAAGTGAGCGTGTGTGTGTGTGTGTGTGTGTGTGTGCTGTGTGTGCTGTGTGTGTGTGTGTGTGTGTGTGTGTGTGTGTGTGATCGCGAGGGGCTCCGAGCTTGGGACTTCCCGCCAAGTGACCCTCTCCCGCTTGGGGGCCGGACGTTTGAAGTTGGCAATTCCGGGCAGAGGTTGTTGGCGGTGGGACCTGCGTTGACCTAACGCTGCAGGGCTTGGCCTCCCCCAGTGACCTGGCCCTGGGGTCCTCTGGACAGCTCTTAGGACTCACTGAGCATATTTTGTGCAGCCCTGTGCCTCGGACCATGGGCCTGCTAACACCGCTGGCCAAGAAGGATGCGGACTTAATCCGCTGTATTTAAGATTTCAGAGAAGCTTGAGACCAGGGTTTCTGCCTCCG